TGGCAACAGGATCTATCTATGTAGTCCAGGCTGACCTTGAACGCATTATGTAACCCAGTAACTTGCCTCAGCCTTGTGGATGCTGGGATTACAAGTGCATCACCATGCCCAATTTATTTTTGAGACAGTCTTTCTTAGTTGCACAAGCTGGGTTCAAACTTGAAATCTTCCTGCCTCAGCTTCCCAGAGTTTAGGGATTATAGGTGTGTACCTCCCTTGGATGTCATTTTATGTACAGGAGAATTACTCCTGGGGTTGGGGGAAATATGATTATTACCATTGTTTTAACTACATGATGTATATACTTATCCACATTTTTCTTAAAGTTTACTTTGGAATGTTGATTATCTTGAAAATGTCTTCCTTGTTCTTTTCAGGTGGTCCCCCACTGACCCAGGGGGCTTAATCATGTCAGAAACTTAGAATTTAAGGAAAGAAAAAGTTCTAATCCAAATGAGGTCTCAGTGCAAGGTAGGAATGTCTTTAAAGAAGGCTCTCCTTTCTGATGTCATTGGGCTGTAGTTGATAGTAACCAGGATGCTGTATTATTTGTTTTGGAAATAGCCTGGTATCAGGATGAATCAGAAATTGTGAGAGAAGAATCAAGAACCTACTCCACTGGTTACGTGGAAAACTCTTTATTAGCCAGCGGAGTAGGTCTAGGGACTTCATCAGATGACATTCCTTCAATCGCTAGCCCTCTCCCAGGCCTCCCACCATAGGAGCCTGGGCTGGGAATCCACGCACTTCAAGATTTAAGTGTCAACCACATTCTCAGTTCAGGCCAGAAGCTTCTGACTAAAGGTGCGGAGCGTGTTGGCCGCAAAGGCCTGCGGGAAATGTAGTCCAGTGATTCAAGCTAACGGCCACCAGAAGTAGGTTGTGCAAAAGCTTTTTCCACACGCCTGATTCCGGAACAAAAGACAGAATTTTCAGAGAATAGTAGCCCGTGTTCTTTAAGATGTTCCCCTGAATTCGAGTTGTTAATCATGCTTACACTTTTGTTCTGCAATTACCAGCTTCTGTTTAGAAAGCCACCCTTGTACAATGAAGATCTCGCGAGAAGTTGTTTAGTGTGCAGTGCATCCTGGGAAATGTAGTGCCCTGCCTGCACAGAAAAAAATGGCAGAACTAACTGAAAGGATGTTGTTCGGAACCTTATAACCGCCGAACGGAGGTAATGAGTACCTGCCCAGACAGCGCTCTTTTGTCGTGTGAAGACGCTGACGCATCCGAGTGTAATGTGTACTTTTGTGTAGGGGTGAGTCTGGCTACTTGATCTAAGCAGTTGGAATCGGGAGGTGGGGCCTGTGCTTCTTGGATGCCAGACTGCCTGCTGGCTGGCTGGCTGTAGGGGACGCAACGGGATCCCGGGATGGGGCTGGAAATGCACACAGATACCAGCTGAAGGCCTTGTGGCTGGGCGGGTATAGCAGAAGGAGTGAATAGCTGTAGGGCGGATGTGACTGTGAAAGCGAGAGCGCGCGTGCGCGCGCGCGACCATCAGAATGTGGGTGACAGATTCACGAATTCGGTTCTCTTGCACTGTGCAGTGGGGAAAAGTAATGGTAATTGTTTGAAGTCAGTTTACTCGAACATTTGAAAAAGATTAAAGCTAAATAATAGATGCGGCAGCAGTATAAAACAAGGTTTCTCTATCAGATAGAAATTATTACATGAAATATCCATTGTGACTTTTTAATATTGGGGATCAAACTCAGGACCTTGCATTTGGAAGGCAGTGCCACTGAGTTAAATCTTCTGCCTCATTGTGACCTTTAAATATAGACAGAAAAGTGAAAGCAATTTTTAAAATGCAGTCCCGGGTTTACTTCTGGACTCTGCATTTCGCTCTGTTGATCTGTTTATGTATCTGAAAACCAGTGCCACACAGTCTTGATTACTGTTGCTTAAACTTAGAAATCAGGAAAGGTAAATTATCCAAATTTGTTCATTTTCAAAGTCGTTTTGAGTGTTCTAACTCTCTGACATTTTGATATGGATTTTAGTCACCATAAATCAAATTTTACACCAATGGATGCTGTGTGCTAGGATTTTTGTTAACTGTGGATCATTTTGGTTAGAATTAACTTTTAACCACTACCCCCTTTGGGTTTAACCTAGGCCCTCCAAATCGGGTACATCGCCAGTGCCTCCCTTGTATTTTGTTTAATTAACTTAATTTAATATTTTGAGATATGGTCTAAGACATTGCCCTAGCTGTGCTCAAACTCCTGTCCTAGCCTCCCATGGTTCTAGAATTACAGGTGTACACCACTAAGCCCAGCCAAGAATTGACTTAACATTTTGTCTTCCAAGTCATGAATATGAAGTATATATCTCTATTTAAGTATTCTTTATTTACTCTCAGCAGTATAATCTTGTATACTTTCAATTAGATTTGTACTCCGAGTATCTTATATATATGGTTCTATTGTAAATGGTTTCTATGATTTTAGTTTTAATTTCCAATTATTGCTATTTTAAGGAATACAATTGATTTAACAACAACAACAACAAAAAATACAATTGAGGGCCTGGGATTTAGCTCAATAGTGCCACTGTCTGCCTCACAAGTGCAAGGTCCTGAGTTCGATCCCTGGAACCAAAAAATAAAGAATAAATAAATACATAAATAAATTAACTTTGTTAAAGTCTTTTATTAGATAGTAACTGTTTTGTGTTTTCATTAAGATTTTCCCCATAAAAGTTTTTGTTATCTGCAGAAAAATATAGGTCTTCTTTTCCATTTTAAATTATTTTCTTTTATTCTTGCCTTACTGCATGAGTTAGTACCTACAGTGAGTTCTGAATAGAAATGACAAGAGTCAACATCTTTTGCCTCATTCCTAAAAGAGAAAGCATTACTTATCATTAAGAACAATGGTAGCTAAAAGTTTTTTTGGTAGTTGTTCATTATCAGATTGTGGAAATCCATTGCATTCTTCATGTCATTGTTCCTAGCTTTTATGAAAAATGTATGTTAGACTTTTTCCAAATGCTTTTTCTATACATTTGAGATGATCGTTTGGTTATTAATTAATATACTGAATTTTTTTCTGCTAACAAGAATTTTAATGACTTAAATATTGGCCAAATTTGAATTTCTGGGACCACTTATTCATGATTTCTACTTTTGATATTTTGTCAGACTCAAAATTTTTTTAGTTTTGAAACTATCTTTATAAAGAACACATACGTGTAATGGTTTCTGATTTGGTATCAGGAAAATGCTGACTCATTGAAGTATTTTGATTTTGGAAGAATTTGTTTCAGAATTGGAATTATTTCTTTAAATATTTACTAAAATATCTCAGCAAAGTCACCTGGACTTGGGAGTTTTTGTTTTGTTTGTTTTTGTTTTTGTTTTGGTACGGGGGATCAAACTCGGGTTGTTGGACTTGCAAGGCAGGTGGAGGAACCTCTGAGCTAAATCCCCAGCCCTGGAGTTTTATTAATGGGAAGTGTTTAAAGTATGAATTAAATTTAATAGATAACAGTGCTACTCACACCATCATTTTCTTCTTAGGAAAGCCTCAGTAATTTGTATTTTTGTAGGAATTCATCAACTTTATCCAATTTTAAAAATGTAAAGCTGGATATATAGATTAGTGGTAGTATGTTTGCATAGCATCCAGGGGGCCTTGAGTTCCATCCCCAGGACCATGAAAGAAAGAAAGAAAAAGCAAGAAAGGGAGAGAAAAAGTAAATTGGTATAAATATGTCCTAAATACTTCCTTTTCTCCTTTCAAAATCTAGAATGAATAGCAATATTACTTTTCTTATATTTGATGGTAATTTGTTCTGTTGTTGTGGTTGGTACTGGGTATCAAACTGAGGACCTTGCTGTTGCGAGGCAGTCGTGGCACCACTAAGATAAATCCCCAGTCCCTTGTTTTTTTAAGGCAGGGTCTCGCCGTGTAGTTCACACCAACATTGAGCTCACCTGAGCCCAGGCGATCCTCCTGCCTCAGCCTAACAGTGCTGAAATCTCAGTCACTGTGTAGTCCAGGCTGGCAACTCATGTAACCCAGTATGGTTTTGAATTCAATGTAATAATCTTCCTGAGTGCTTAAATTCAAGGCATCTGTCATCAAGTCTGGCCCTATGAAACAATCTTTTGATTACTATTTGCAGGGTAGGGTTTTTTTTTTTTCTTGTACTTTTATCCTCCTGTACCTTTCTGTACACCTAATTTTTAAAAAATTCACTTTGATGTTTGCCTTTTATTTGGTGTGTTAATTTCCAATGATTGTGGTTAAGAAACTATCACAAGTTGGTGACTTAAGATAATGGCAACTTATTCTTTCTAGACCATAGGAAAAGTGTAAATTCTATTTCACTGGGCCAAACCAAGACGTTAGCAGAATTGTGATGTCTCTGGAGGTGCAAAGGGAGAATCTACTCTTTGCTGCTTCTCCAACTTCTCGTGACTCCTGATTGACTGGCTTTTAGCTTTGTCACTTCATTCACTCTCTCACTCCCTCATTCCTTCGTGGGATAGGGAATTGAACTGAGGGTCTTCACACCATGCTATCTGCCCAGATCCGTTCTCCTTACCCACTTTTTTCTGTTTAATTTTTTTTGTTTTGTTTTGTTTTTGTGAGACAGGGTCTCACTATGTAGTTGAGACTGACCTGGAACTCACTATGTAGCCCAGGCTGGTCTTGAACTCACAGCGATCCTCCTGCCTCAGCCTCCCAGGTGTGTGCGCCCGGCTTCTGTTTGTTTAATTTTGAAACAGGGATTCTCTGAGTTGGTTAAGTTGCTCAGACTGGTTTCTAAGATCGTGATCCTACATCAGCCTTCTAGAGTGCTGGGTTTGTGGATGTATGAAACTGGTAAGCTTATGTCACTCCAATCTTTTTGTTTTGTCTTTGTTTTTGTTACTCTAATCTTAAGGCCAGCATCTTCATTTTTTTTTTTTTTGCTTTCCTTTTTGAAAAATAGTACATTTGAATTACATATTTACATTCATCATGAGTTATTTTGTGTACTTAATACCTTAATTCTTTTTTCATCCCCTACTCTTCCTCTAACTCTCCCTTCCCTCCACTGAGTGGTCCCCTTCCCATTTTGCAAAAAGATTTAGCTCTCTATTTCCAATTTTCTTTTATTTTGCTCTTATTTATATTTTGGGTTTCTCATGTAAGAGAAACCATGCAGGGCCAGGAATTTAGCCCAGTGGCTCAGCACCTACCTGGCAAGTGGGAGGTCCTGAGTTTGATCCCTGGTACAGAAAAACAAAACAGGGCCTGGGATTTAGCTCAGTGGTTCTGCCGCCTGCCTCGCAAGTGCAAGGATCGAGTTCAATCCCCGGTACCAAAAAAAAAAAAAAAAAAGAGAGATTCAAGAAAACAACAACAAGAGAAACCATGCAATATTTAAGCTTGTGAGTTGATTTATTTCTCTTAACATTAGGATCTCAAAGTATACCCATTTTCCTACACATGACTCAAGTTTATCCTCCCTTTGTTGTTGGATATTTAGGTTGCTTCCAAGATTTAACTATTATGAGTTATACTGCTGTAAACATGAGTATGCATGGATCACTATAATATGTCTTTAACACTTCTGGGAAGATACTGCAAAGGGGATTAACTGAGTCAAATGGAATTTCTATTTTTAGTTTTTTGAGTAATCTCCATACTGATTTCCATAGTGATTGTTCTAGTTTACTCTCCCACCAGCAGTGTAGAAGGGTTCCTTTTCCCCAACAGCCTTGCTAATGTATTATTGTTTGATTTCTTGATGATAGTCGTTCTTTCTGGAGTAAGATAGAACCTCGGTGTTTTATTTTTAATTTGCATTTCTCTAACAGCCAGAGATGTTGAAATTTTTTTCATGTATTTGTTTATTTTTTTATTTTTGAAAGGGTCTTGCTTTGTAGTTGTAGTTCAGCTTGGCCTCGAACTTACTGTGTATCCCAGGCTGACCTCATACTCATGGTGATCCTGAGTACTGAGATTACAGGCATGGGCATAAGGCTGATATCTTCAACTATCTCTCTGCTCAGTCTTCATATAGCCTTTTCCTCTGTATGTCTGTATCTCATAAATTCTTCTGGCTCCTAGAAAAATGTCATCTTGTCAGAATCCTTAATGCTATCTGTAGTTTCTGTTACCATATAAGGCAAAACTTACAAGTTCCAGGGACTAAGACATAGTATTTTGGGGAGACATTATTTAGTCTACTGCAATTGGAGTGTTTAGATTATCAGCCAGTAGAATTATTTATGTAGTTAGGTTTAAATGTACTTTTGTACATCTATCATCTGTCTGTTCCTTCTTTCTTTTCTCTTCATTGTTTTTGATAACATTGTTTTAATTAAATCAGTGTGCTTTATTGATTTTATTAACTTTTTCTGTGGGATTTGTGGGCAATGACATTTTTGTCATAAATACTCAACTCTGATAATTCTCAAAGTATAAATGGATTAGCATAGTTGTGTTATATAACTCTATAAATTATGGAATTTGAATTTCACACAAATTTCCTGCATCATAAAATATTATTCTTTTATTTTTTTCTCCCAATTTGAAATGTTTTCAAAATGTAAACAAAATAAAAATTGGCTTATAGGCCATGTAAAATAAGTACCAGACCACATTTGGCTTATGGGCCATTCATAGTTTGTTGATCCCTACCCTAGAACTTTAAAATAATGTTGATGAAAATAAATATGTGATAAACTATGAAAGTAACTAGGGTGGTGCACTAAAAAACTAAGAGAAAAATACAGTCACAAAAGCAGAAGAACAAAAAAGACACACAGAAAATAAATAGCAGAGTATCAAATATAAATCCGCTCATCAATAATTTCACTACATGGATATGGTCTGGATATCCCACTCAAAAAACAGACTATCAGATTGGATTTAAAAAAATAGCAATTTCCAACTTTTGTCCAACTTTAAGAAACATACTTTAGCTTCAAAGGCAAAAGTAATTTAGAAATAGGGAGAAAGGAGCTAAAGGTGTAGGGAAGGTGGGATGGGTAGGGGAAGGGTAATAAGGGAAAAGAAAAACATGTGAGATAATGAAAAGATGGAAATAAAGTGTTTGTAGATGGGAAGGGGACGAGGGGGTGAAGGGAGGGCAGGGGTAAGGGGAAAAAATGAGAATCAAGACTTGTCATGTAGAGGTACAAGATCCCAACAATGAATGTAACTGTACTGTATCCCTAAAATGTACCAATAAACTAAATTAAAGCTGAAAAAAAAAGGGCAAAAGTAGTTTGAAAGGAAATAGAAAAGGATACACCATGCAAACTATAAGAAAATAGGAGTGGCTATGTTACTAACAGATAGACTATATATAAATACTACTAGAGACAACAAGAGAGATTTAACAGTGATACTATGTTATCAAAAATAACGTCAAAACTAAAAAAATTTGAATAATAAAGTAAAAGTTGTATTGGATTATAACCAAAGATATAAAATAAATAGCCACAAGGCCATACTGATAGATCAAATAATGGGAGGAAATAGACAAAACTTGCATACAGAAGAATTCAAAGTAATTTCTATAGATTCTCTACTCTTAAGGTGGCAGAGCATAACTTCTTATCCAAGTGTGGGGTATACATAATGACTTCCTATAATGAGTACAAGGAAAGAAATAAATTCACTATACGGCAAGCCGACAAATACTACTTCAACTAACTAAGACTAGTATTAGCAGCCATAAATCAAAGGAATAACATATGCCTTTGATACGTGATGAGAAGGGCACCTTACCTCGGTGGACTTTGACTCAAGACTTGTGTGTAACCTGTGTCTGAACCTGAGAATAACACTGGGAAAACCTGAGCTGAAAGATACCCTATAGGATACCTATCGGTACTTTTCAAAACTGTGAAATCTGGCTGAGAATCTATGGAAGTATAGGGGGGCCTAGGAGACAGTTGATTGATAAATGTATTACGTTATTTTGGGTGATATTCTGAAACAAAAATGACATTATGTTAAAAATCTAAAGAAATTTAAGCTGAATATGGTAATGCACACCTGTAATCCCAGCACTTGGGAGGCTGAGGCTGGAGAATCACAAGTTGAAGTTCTGTCTGAATAATTTAGTGACTTAGTGAGGCCCTGTCTCAAAATAAAAAATAAAACATAGTTCAGTGTGAAGGGCCTCCATTTAATATCTAGTACTCTCCCATACAAAAACCCCCTAAGGAAATCTAAAGGTATAGGCTTAATAAAAATGTGTCATTATCAATTCATTAATTGATTTGTTAATTTTGATGAGCATTCTATCATAACAATAATAGGGTAAACTAGGTATGAGATATACTACAACTCTTTGGGGGTGCTTTGCAGAGTTCTTTATAGATTAGGCATAGCAGAGTTACTGTCTCTGTAGGAATAGAGGGTGTTGAATGAGGTATAGTTTTATGGAATGAGGTTAGGGTTGGGGAATAGATTACTATAGGATGGGGTATGAGGTAGGGGAAATTCCACAGGGTAAAAGTAACAGGTAATAGTGATTTACCATGAGTCACACTCTGGCCTTGGACTAGAATTATATATAGATTTTTGGTTTTTGTGGAGTGGTTGGAACCCAAGGCATTGACCACACAAGGTAAGTGCGCTACTACTTGGGTAGAATTTTAGAGCTGGAAGAGAACCTATGTGAAGGAGGAGAGACCTTGAGAAAGAGTCACCAGGAACAGTATTCCCTTGTGGTGGATCTTTTGGGAGGTCTGTGGAGAGAATTACTCTGGAAAATGCAGATGTCTTGACTTTCATTTTTATACAGTGGTAGAGGGCGTGGACAGCAAGTCTTATTTAATCTAGAGACAGAACTAATTTCTCCTAATTCTATTTTTTCTTTTCCAATTCTGTATTTTCCTAGGAGCAACTTGAGGAGCAGGGAAGCATGGCTATTGTGGATCAAAAAACTATGTTCAAGGTGAGATGAAATTTCTTACTTCTATTAACAACTTTCTTTGTTTTTTGCAAAGTTGTGCCTTCTGCTTTATAACAGTAACTATCTCAGTGTCAGAGAAGATGACTAAAACAGATTTAGGGTTTTGCTGATTCCTGAGATGTCCTCAAGCCATCTTTACTCTTGTTCTGATGTAAAGTACAGTAGTACCTTAGGTCCCGAACTTAATTCATTCCATGATTCCAGGGAAAATGGCCACATTCTGTGTTCATTCAGGAAAGATGGCCACAATGGTATTTTTCGCCCAATGCAGAGTTTGAGAATGGAAACAAATTCCTGCCAAATGCTTGTTTCCAAACTGAATTGTTCTTGAACGGAAGCATTTGTGAACCAAGGTATCACTGTACTTGGCTTTTAATGCTAATCTTCTTAGCATCCAAACTCTCTAAGGCACTAAGTTTTCAAGTTCTTCCTTTCTGGCCAAGTCTCACTTCATTCAGCTCTGGATTTTGCTCCTGATTCTCACTATGGATCTTGTTAAAAGCAGCAAGTAGTACACCATGCTATACCCTGAATGTTGAGCTGCCTTGAAATTTCTTCTGTCAGATCATAGTCTCCTGTGCTTAACCACTTAACAGTTTACCCTGAACATCACGTGGGCAGTGCATTTTGTTTACATATTATCCCAAGTGTCTCCAGGGCAGGTATCATTTTAACGAGTCAATTCTTGTTTTGAATAAATTTAATAAAATTATCATTTGTATATTTCCTATTATACTATCTTATACAAATTAATGGCAAAATATGCAGTTTTGGGTCATTTTGTATTTAAATTGGACTGATAAGTGGTTAAACTCAGTCTTTGGCAAAGTCTCAGGACATGAACAAAATGCAGACAAATTGTGCCAGAGCATACCATGTGGTCTTCAATGCCAGTGCCAGTATTTCCAACTGAAACCTCCTGAGCCTGATTGTTACGGTCAGTCAGCATTTCTGTTGGCATTCTGCTCTTTTGAGTTCCAGCCAGATTCTCTCATCAAGTTTGGGTTAACAGCACTTTAGAGTTTCTCTTTCTGGTATCCCCAAATCTCTCCAGACTCTTCCCACAAACCAGAGTTCCAAAGGCTTTTGAACCATGTGGTCAGGTATAGATAGTCATGGCTGTGGCCCCACTTTTGGTAGCAACATCTGTCTCAGTCACTTTCCTCATTGCTGGGACAAAATACTGGACACCTGCAACTTAAAGGAATGAAGGTTTATTTTGATTCATGGTTACAGTTTGTGGTCCTAGGCTGTCTTCAAGGAGGAAACCTGCTTATATGATAGTGGCCAGGAAGGAGAGAGTGAAGGGAGGATCTGAGGAGGGAAATAAAACCTTCCAAGCCACATTCTCAGTGAGCACCTTCTACCAGGACCCACCTCTTAACACCAAGTCAGTTATAGTGTCCCCATGTTCAAGTCACCTTCCAACCACATGAGGCTTTTGAGGAACATTTCAGATCAAGCCATAGCAATAACTAAGTCCTATCTGAGATTTACCAGCATGATTTTGTTTTATTTCACAAATTTGCTTTGGCTTATGAAAGGCAGTATGCCTTCCTTTCTTTTGGTTGAAGCATCATGTAGGCCATGTGGGACTCTCAATGTCTGTGTCTACTTGAGAAATTAACTACTCTCAATTTCCTTTTCTGTAAAATGGATGGATTGATGGCACTCACCTATAGGTTATAATGACCAAACTGACATAAGACCCTTTGAAAAATGTTGGCACATAAAGCACACTCAATTTATATACGATATTATGATTATTTTCTATAAGTTTTCTATGGATTAGGAAAAATAAAGTATAAAATTGTGGTAGGTATTTGAAAATAAGAAAAAGATAAATACTCAAGTCATATAGGAGTTTTTAATCTGCAAGTCATTTACTTCATTTATCGACTACAAATCCCTTGATAAGATTGTTATTATAGAAGGGATATATGATTATTTCCTATCAGGGGAGCTAGATCTCTATTATGGTATGTCCACTACTTTATTTCAATCAGAAACTCATTTTCTTTTTCTCTTCTGTTAAATTGCCTCCCATGTACAAAATTTAAAAACGTATTTGTGCACAGCATACTGTGGCATGTTGGACTTACTACAGTTTTATTTTGTCCACTATAACCAGAGTTCTCTTTGTGTGTCTGGTCATCCAGGTTTGTAGTTCCTAAGTGAATAATTGTACTGGTGTGTGCCACATGTCTGATTGCCCAGTGGACAGTAATTCCCTCAAGTTCCTTCCCAAATCATGTGCTACTACCAAATAGATTGTATCCTGGAAAATAAGTCCAAAGATCCCGGCCAATTATTAGAGTTCATCTCAGTCATTTTCAGTTGGTCCTGTTTATTGTCATATTGCACAATGAGAATGTTTCCCAGAATGATGCCACACAGGTTCATCGACTTCCATTTGACTGTGTCAACTTCCAAAAGTAGGGATGGTCTCAGCAGACATATGACTTACCACATGTACCCACATATGTATTCATGCGTTTACTGTCAGCTGCCATACTTCCTTCTTTCTGATTGGTTTTTACCTAGACTTTTCCAGCTTTAGAAATTAGCTTCAGCCAAATTGCTGGCATCAAAATGAATCTACAAGAGCTGACCCCTCATTCCATTCTCATTCTATAATTTAAGGTTACTCGGGTATAGAAGTAGGGGCTACTTTGACCACTAGGCAATATACTTGTATTCACTGTCATCCCGTTTTGTCAGATAGTCTGCAAAGACAATCCATCCCCTTGAGAATTCTGGCATAAGGGTTTAAAGGTCAGGTTACAGTTCCTTATTTTGGGACTGTCTCTGCCTTCATCACCTGGAGTCGTACTTCTGGTTCCAGGACCACTGTGTCGAGTGTGGAAGAGAAAAGTTGAGGATGTGGGGAAGATTTGTCCCCCTGTGTTAGCATTCTCCCCCAGAGCCTCTTCCCCTGTCCTCAAGGGAAGTGAAGGAATCTGTCTAGCAGGGACTCTGCCTTGGCTTCCCTCATCTTCAGTGAGAGCACACACTCATGAAGGCATGTAAGGCAGCTCTTCAGTCAGGATATGTATCTCCTGTACTAATTCTCCATCAAACCACTACTTTGAGGATGATAATCAGCATGGTAAAGTAACCAGGTCCCTCCTGTGCTGTGAGGTAGGTCCTTGTTTGGGGGCAGTGAAGTTTGAAGCCAACAAAACAGCACTCAGCAAGCAGTGGGGAATGACAGTGTATGTTTCATAGAAAGAAGAAGAGAGAAACTCCCTGCTTGTAGGGCAGGGGTTTCATATCCATTGGCTTTTTATACAGTTTTTTTTGTATAGGTGAATGTGACAGAAAACAAGGCTGCTCCTGGTTGCAGGTAGCCTTTGATGTCTGGAAAGCAAGATGCTTCATTTGCATTTCACTTTCTCCAGGGATTTTCCCTTGTGTTTAGGGACCCTTCTTTGTCTCTCGCAGTTCTATTAGACCATGATAGTCAGTTTGTATAAGTTAATTTTTCTGGTATGTTAACTCACCGAAGCTCTAACTTTTAGCTTTCTTCATGTTAACTCTTCAGGACCTGTGCCCTATCTACCTAACTTCTTCTGTCTCCTGGCTTCAGTAAATCCTTTTGATGTGAGCTTTATTTGCACATTGTTGGACACTGTGAGGCATAAAATTGTCCTTTGGTCAAAGAAGTGTAGCGTGGTGATCAGAATTGGTACATTCTCTTCTATTCGAGTAATTGTGTGGTATTTGGACCATTTATATCAATCTCCAAATAAGCAAAAACCCTTCCAGGGTAAATGTCTATTCTTGTCAGCATCCATCTATAGCCTCTGATCTGGTGAGAGCAGCATCTTGTTTAGTCTCCATTTGCATCTCTCAGGAGCCTTCCCCAAAGGATTAAGTCCTATCTTGTTCTTCAGTTTCTTTTGTTTTTTTGTGGTACTGCAGATTTAACACAGGGCCTCCCACATACTAGGCCAGAGCTCCACCACTGATCTACATCCCCAGTCCTTTTCACTTTGTATTTGAAGATAGAGTTGTCACTAAATTGTCCAGGCCAGACTTGAACTTATGATCTTCCTGCTTCAGTCTCCCAAGTAGTTTGCATTACAGATCTGTGCCACCATGCCTAGCTTATTTTTCAGCTTCTGATATTATCATATCTAATGGATGCATTGTTACACTCAGGACCTATGTCGAGTCCATTTTTTTCCTCACAAAATTGTAACAGTAAGCTGGTGAGTTTGAATAGCCTTGTGGCATTACAGTAAACATTTGGGAACTTTCCTATATAAAGGGACACTATATTTGACCTTTCACTATCAAAATCAAGAAAAAAGCATTTGCAAGATTAGTTACTGAGTACTAGTATCTTTTAGCTTGTTATGTTATTTTCATTGTTGAACCATATGTGAGACTGCTCATTCTGTAGTTGGTACTCCATTATTTCAAGCTGTGATAATCTGTTAGTCTCCATGAGCTATCTCCCTTTTCATAGCCTACACAAGGAATTTTTTGGTACCAGCATCTCAACTTCTAACATTATTAAAGTGTAATCTCATATATCCACTAGGCATTCTATCCTGTTTCAAATTAACCTGTATGTGCTGGAGTAATTCTGCAAGTTCCTGTATAGTATTTTCAGTTAACACTGCTCAAGGGCAAACCTATATGCCTTTAGATTTATAGAATTAAATAGAAGAAGCATAGCGGAAGTGTTCCCCAGTCAGACATTATATCCTTCCTAATTATAAACTCAGAGAAGGGGATGCAACTGCTACACATAAGGTATGTTTAACTATTCCATTTTTCATCCAAACTTTCACCTTAATCTCTTAACCATTGCATTCCTGTGTCTTCTTAACCTCAAAATTGAACTCAGGACCTTGCACTTGCCAGACAGGTGCAGCACCAACTGAGCTATGTCCCCTGTCCTCCTGTGTCTTCTCAATCTAACCAAGTTCCCGCTAGGGCTTCACCAACATGTTTGGAAACCATAATTTTTGGGTTTTTATGTCAAGGAATTCCTAACAAGTCTTTGCCATCCCTAACCATTAACTACACATTATGTTTTTACTGTCATCTCATCTTTCAACCCTTTTCACTTCCTTTAACGTAGGCCACCTAGTACATATTTGTTTAGGGCTTTCTTTTGTTTGTTTTTAGTACTGGGGCTTCAACACAAGGCTCTCTCTCTCTCTCTCTCTCTCTCTCTCTCTCTCGTTTTCATTGTGGTCAAAGAAAGTATCTGGCATGATTTTGATACTTTTTATTAGATTAAGAGATTATATTAAGTTTATTTACTGGACCAGCATGTGATCTATTTTGAATGTGTATTTACATTTGAAAAGAATGTACATTCTGAAGTTTTTGATGTTGTATTTTATAAATAGTAACTAGTTGTAGTTGGTGGGCAGTGTTATGTTTTCTTATTTCTTCACTTTTTTTTAATGCATAGAAGGTCTGGTTTTATGTTATTGAGAAATAGTTATAAAATCTCTATGATTGTAGAATTGTCTATTTCTTCTTTTTTTTTTTGTACCGGGGATTGAACTCAGGTCCTTGTGCTTGTGGGGCAGGCAGTGGAACCACTGAGCTAAATCCCTGGCCCTCAGTTAAATTTTTGTTACATATATTGTGAGGGTTTCTTATTATGTACCTAAACATTTCTGATTTCTAAGTTTTCCAGATGAATTAACCTTTTTATTCTTGTGATAAAATTATGTTTGATTATTATAGGTTAACTTGAAGTCTGTTTGATCTTAATATAGTCATTCTATTTTTTGAAAGTAAATGATAATATTTGAAACTTACTGAAGCAATTCACTTAAGTGTATTGTTTTTCTGTTTGTTTCTAATGTAGATGTTTCCTTTCTCCTAATACAGGAAAATATATTTTTTCTTACTAGGTCTTATTATTTGAGGCTGGCCTCGAACTCACTGTGATCTTCCTGTGTCAACCTCTCAAATGCTGAGATTATAGGCATGTGCCAATACACCCGGCAACCCAGGGCTCTCTTACTGAGTTATATTCCTAGCCCTTTTTTACTTTTTATTTTGAGTCAGTGTCTTGCTAAATTGTTAGGTTGCACAGGCTGGAGTTGAACTTGCAATCCTGCTTTAGTCTCCACAGTGTTAATATTACAGGCAGGTATCACCATGCCTAGTTTGTTTAGGGTATTTCAATGTTAGGGGATCAGCAAAGGGTCCTTTTGGTCCACCCAACCTCTGATGATGCTGGTGAGACCTTTCTTTTGACTTCATCCGTGTCCACTTTATTCAACTCATGTTTTAATAACTGTTTACATTTACACACTGCCAGGATGAGTTCTTTTACTATCCTCTGTCTTTTCCCATTCCATTTTGACTCACTCTAATTTTCTTAGGGGGTAGATGAACCTATGATAACTTTTATCCAGTCACCTGGCTGACTTTCCCCTTAGAGACAATCTGTGTTGTACCTGGATTGTATACAGCAGAGTAGTTGTTCAGTGGTAATCCAGGGGTCCAGCATCAAACTAAACATACTCCTCCTTTCTGCAGCATTCAAAACCATAGGGATTCTGAGTTAGTCTCACAGTCCATCTTAGTAAAGTTTCTTCAGGAAGCTGCCGGTGTCAGTCTACAAAAAGGAGACCATTCATTCATGCTGTGCGCTCTGTCTTCAGTAGTTTCTTGGTTTTGCCTTCCCTTTAACCACTTGGTCTCCCCTTTTGTTGATCAGAGGTGTGCCATCTATTGTTCCTGTGCACCTGTTCCCTTTAACAACAACTGTTATCCTAGGGGTCAGCCAAAGTCTGACTGGTACGCACCAGGACTCACCTCAAACCCCCTTTTTAAATTTTTGCTACTGCAGATACACCAATTAAGGAATTGCAGTTTTAGCTTGTTTCTCATTACTTTACAGTATTTTCTTTGTTTATCTAGGAAGACAACACCTTGGGTCTATTATTTCTCAGTTTCTTTGATAACTATTACCTCTAATAACTCCCTGTAGTACTGGCTATCTTATGCTGAACTGATTCAATAGCCATCCAAGTATCAAAGGTTCATCAGCCTCCACTCGCTCTTGTTTTCTTAGTGATGCTTTGTTATCTTTCAGTGAGTTGGTTCCTTTCTGATGACAACTGTGTTGAGTGTCCCCAAGAGCACGCTCAGACTCAGTGACTTTTGGTTGGATTTGCAGGACTCAGACAATAAGCTATCCTCCCAGGTGTGATTTATTTTTCTGAAAAAGGTGCTGATTAAAATCAGGAAAGGAAGAAGTACATGAGATTAGAGCCCAGGAGAAACCAGTCACAGGTGTGTCATCCTAGTGGAGAGGGATGATGACATGTTTATTTTCCCAGTTGTGATGTGTGATGTATTGTCGACAAGGGAATTTAACCAGTGCTGTGGCCAGGTGTTTGTTTGGTACTGGGGATTAAACACAGGACCTTCAGACTTAGCTGCATTTTCAGCCCATTTTTATTTTTTGAGACAAGTTCTCATTTAGTTTCCCAGGGGGGCTCAACTTGGCAGTCTTCCTGACTCAGTCTCCCAGAGTGCTGGAGTTGCAGTCATGTGCCACTATGCCCAGCTGTGTCCAGGATTCTTATTAGGGGTATGTGCAGTGCCCACTGCTGACCTTAGCTGTTCCACCTCCATCTCCCTAGAGGTCACTCTAATATACCCCCAGGTCTCACACATATTAAAGCACTCTCATTAGGCAGGGTATTCAAGGCCTCAGTTTATTTCCCAAAAGCCAGTGAAAGACTGGTTCTTCCTGAGAAATGTTGAGGGTGTGAGCTTTAAAGGTCCAAGCCTTCCAAGTTAGGCCTTTACTGCACAAAGACCACATGTTCAGCATAATAATAATGGAACTGTTCCATTCTAATTTAGATTAGCCTTACATTGCTTCTCAGAGAGATTGATGCATAGAAGTTTCCCAGGGTTACAGGTTTTATCTACTCCACAACATGGGATTGTTCAACAACAACGTGTGTTTAGTAATTTCTTATTTCTCCCTGTTGTGTTGTAAGGTTCCAGTTCTACCCTGTTGCTTACTTTAGAATGCAGTGCCTTCCAGGAAAGCCTTTTAAAATAGTCTTAGCATTCGTGTGAAATATATTTTCCTTACTATTATATATGTTATATGGAATTTTCCCTTCAGGGATTGGTAATGTTTGAGGATGTGGCTATAGACTTCTCTAAGGAAGAGTGGGAATGCTTAGACCCTTCTCAGAGAAACTTATACAGAGATGTGATGTTGGAGAACTACAACACCTTTATATCACTGGGTAAGTTCATCTGTTCTCTATAATTAAAAAAAGTGTTTTCTCCACTGGAAATACTTGGCTGTATTTGAAGTGAGGGGGAATATTTTGAGGGGGATTAATAGCAATGTCTTTTAAACTTTTAAAAGTTTAAACATTCACTGTATTTTTAGGTGATACTTACCTATGTAAATTTCTGTTCTTCGTTCTAAAAGATTATTTTGAGCTTGTTTTGTTGGAGTAGCATTCCTCTGTCAGATACCTTGTTTGCTATTTTTCATTCACCTTCACAGTGCCCCTGCACTTTGTGTAACTGACTTTCCTTCTTGGTTGTTAAGGAGTTTGATTATGGTAGAGGTGAGGTAGGAGATTAGGGCTGGGGCAAACTGAACAACCAAATGGGCTGAATGTATCAGAAAACCCTGGCTGACTAGTTGAGCAAGATGTTGTCTAAAAAGAGAAGACATGAGCAGAGTATGAGATCCAAAATTATTCTAGGCTTAAGACTCCTCCTGCATACAGTTCACAGGACCAATCAAAAACTGCTATTCCTAATCCTTCATTTGCATTCAGTGCTGTTCATAGCACCAATTAGAAGATATTAACCCTTCATTTACATACTGGTACAACCAATGAAAAGGTAGTATTCCTGAGCCTTCATTTACATCTGGCAAGAAGCCAAGTGAGTTTCCTCATTGGACAGTTGTCCAGTGCTGTATTTATATGGAGTGGGGCCAATTCGGGTATTTTTGAATACTAAAGGCTTCTTTCCCTTTATTCTCAGGCTGTTGTAAGCCTTCTTCACCACCCTACCCTTGCTTAGTAGAGTGTACCTCTTTCCACTTTCAACAAATCTACACCCTTGCTGTCTTTTCTGTGTCTTGTTTAATTCTTTGTTCAAGATATCAATACCTGGAATGAAGCCCCCTTGGGACCCTCAATCAGTTACAGAGGGAGTGGTATACAAAACAACCTGTAAGATTAGGAGGTGATGATTCATCTAAAATTTAAGAAAACTCTTATCTTGGCCTGTGCCTGGAAGGTATAATTCAGAAGTTTTGTATTTAATATTGAAGGAATTTCACAGTAAGTTCTTATTTTTCCCCATTCCCCAGCCCTCGCCTCAGCCCCTCCACCCTTCCCTGTTTACAAAGTTATTGTTTCCATATTTTTCCTTTACCCATATTTTTTTCTTTTCCCTTTTTAACCTTTCCCCTACCTCTCCTACTTCCTCTACTTTTTTAGACTTTTCTTCCTATTAAACAATATCAATTATACATTTTAGTACTTAGTTACACTTTTACTTTTTCACACCAGAGAAACTAGTCGGTATTTACAAATGTATAATTTACTAATTTCACTTAAAGAGTATGGCCTCAATGTGCATCCACTTAGCAATACCTCTCTAGTTTCTCTTTTGTTATGGCTGAGTAGTACTCCATTTTATAAAACACACACACACACACACACACACACACACACACACACATCTTCTTTATCCAGTCTCCAGTTGATGAGCAATTGGGCTGTTTCCACATTTAGCTATTGCAAACTGTGCCTCTATGAACATGTCTTGAACCTTCTTTTTTTTCATAACTAGACTAGAGTTTTTTCATAACATAACTAGAGTTATGTGTTAAACTTCAGACTTCTCCCTTCTCATTCTTGGGGGAGGGAGGTTAATTGTTCCTTGTGCTCCTTATACTAGATTAATAAGCTGTATTTCTATTTCTTTATTATCCTCTTATCTAAAAGTTTGTTTATTTGAATCCTATTTTTTCTTTTGCTTTTATTTTCTGTCTTTCTTTCTTTCTTTTTTTTTTTTGAGACAGGGTCTCATTATGTAGTTCCAGGTGTCCTTGAACTCACTATTTAGCCCAGGCTAGCCTCAAACTCATGGTAAACTCACAGTAATCCTCCTGCCTCAGCCTCCTAAGTGCTGGCACTACAGGTGTCCATCACCATGCCTGGCCATTTTTAAAAAACTTTTTATTTTGTAATGATATTAAGAATTAAGACCACACAGTATGGAGCCAGATTTTCACAATGTTAACAATTTATATGAGCATAGTGTAGTTATCTGAACAAGAAAATGAACATTGATTAAATTTTGTGGAATTAGCTATATACTATATTTTAGAGGTCAGTCATTATCCTTGTAGTGTACTTGTACTGATCCCGCATTGCACATTGTAATTAGTTGAAAGCTTTGTTCAGTCTCTCCTGTCAAGAGGTAATGAATGCTTTATGTCTTGTCACTGATAATGCTAACTTTGATCATTTGGTTAAAGTGGTATCCTCTAAAGTTCTGCATTGTAAAGCTACTACTTTTACCTTCATAGTAGTTTGTTGTAAAGTACTTTGATATTTTATGATTATACTCTTTATTATGATATTTTCCCTGCTTTAGTTTTCATTTGTATCCTGCATATAATAGGATTGTTTGTCAAGTACTGAGGTTGTTTTGTTTTCATCTTCTTTCTGAAGGTCCTCAATTTGTTTTAGATGAAACCATTCTAAATAAAAAAAGTTTTTAAAATTTATATTTATTTTTAATTTTTTTTAAGAGCAGGAACAGTGTATTGAGAGAAAGATAGCTTCTGCCTAAGAGAGGCAGAAGGGGAACGGGAAAGTGAGTTGCCCATTGAGTTTTAATCTTACTTCTTTGAGCAGGACTTGTCACTTCTAAGCCATCAGATTTACCTATTGCCTAAGAGAGGCAGAAGGGGAACGGGAAAGTGAGTTGCCCATTGAGTTTTAATCTTACTTCTTTGAGCAGGACTTGTCACTTCTAAGCCATCAGTAATTTACCTATTGGAACAAGGGAAAGAACCTTGGGTGACTGGAAAAGCGGAATGGTATCCAGGTGAGTAAAGGGGTGAGGAAAAACCAGAATGTAAAGGGATGGCGAATAATCAGGGAAGTCCAAACTAGTTAGACTGGGGAGAATATCAGTATTTTTTTTATGACAAGCAATTTTTTCCCGCTGAAACAGTGTCTTCACTATATAGTCCAGACTGGCTTTGAATTTGCTATGTAGACTAGCAAATCTTCCTCCCTCAGCCTCCCAAGTACAGAGGTTACAGGCATGCACCACTATGCCTGGTGAAGACCTTTATTTTTTAGCAGATATTTTGAAGGTCAATTGGCATGTAATTAAGTGGATATATTAAAGTGTGCCATTTGATGATTTTGATGTACATGTAAGCTTATGAGATCATTACCATAATTAAGATAATAAATTGATCACTCTCACTGCTTCTGATGTAAGGTAGAAAGCCTTCAATATTTTATTATCATTACTGGTATTATTTTGTAGTACTAGGGATTGAACCTAGGGTCTTGGCACTGTGATTGCTGTCCCCAGATCTATCTTAATTTTGAGACAGGTCTTGCTAAGTCACTAAGTTGCCCAGGCTGGGTTTAAATATGTAATCCTAGCCTCTCAGAGCAGTGAGATTACAGGCATGGATCACCATGTCTGGCAGTATTGCAGTAGGATGTGATGTTTCTTACATATTTTTAACTGATACAATTTACTTTAAAAAAGAAGCCCCCTTCTGTTTTTTGGTTGGTGAGAAATTTTATGACTGTTGAATTTTGTTAAGAGTATTTTTTGCCTTTATCCAAGTGATTATATAATTTTCCTTTTAAAATGTTAATATGTTGGGCCAGGGATTTAGCTCAGTGGTGCTGTACCTGCCTCGCAAGCACAAGATCCTGAATTCGGTTCCCAATATGCAAAAAAAAAAAAGAAGGTTAAGGGCTGGGGATTTGGCTCAATGGTTCCGCTGCTTGCCTCACAAGTGCAAGGGCCCAAGTTCGATCCCTGGTACCAAAAAACAACAACAACAACAACAACATATGTTGAATTATGATAATTGATTTTCAAATGTTACCATAACATATTCCTAGGGTAAATTACACTGGGTCATGAGTTATGTATTTTGTTTGCAGTACTGGATTCTATTGTTAGTACATTAAAGGGAGTTTTGCATTAGTATTTAAGAGGAAAATCTGTAGTTTTCTATTGTCTTTTCCTAGATTTAGTAGTAATGTTATGTATGTTGGGCTCCTGTAATGAGTTGGATGCTATTTCTATATTTCAAATAGATATTTTCTCCTTATTTGGTAAAATTTACAAATAAAGCCATTCAGCCAGTTTTATTTTTCAGACAGTTGTTTTTATTATAAACTCAATTTCTTGGTTGGATATATAGCACCTCTTGTGACTATTTCTTCTCTTGAGTGATCTTTGGTAGTTTGTCTTTCAAGCAATGTGATCTTTTAAATCTAATTTATTATATATAATTATATATGTATATGTTGTAAAATAGGTCATACCCTTTTTTTTCTTCTCTTTTTCTTCTTTTGCAGACAGGGTCTCACTGTGTAGTTTAGGGAGGCCTTGAATTTGTGGAGATCCTCCTGCCTCAGCCTCCTGAGTGTTAGGATTATGAGCGTGTGCCAACCACACCATAGTTACTCTTAGTTACTTTTCTCGTTGCTGAGACCAAAATACCTGACACTGAAAGTTAAGGAAAGCAAGTTTTATTTAGCTCACAGTTTATAGGAGTTTCAGTACATAGTTGGCTGGCTCCAAGGCAGGGTGGCAACAGTTCATGGCTAAAAGGTTTATCAGATTTACTCATCTTTTCAGTGAAATAGCTTTTGGCTCTGTTAATTATCTGTTATTTGTTAATTTTCTAATTTGTTGATTTATCATTTCTTTGCTTCTAATGTTAGTTTATTTTGCTCTTTTTTTCTATAGTTTTTCAGTAAAACCTAAGGTTATTTGCTCCATAGGACTTAAAATATAAATTTTCCTATAAGAAGTACTTGACTTACATTGCACATATTTTTATATGTTATACTTTTGTTATTGTTCACTTCTAAATATTTTCTAATTTCCTGAAGGTTTAGTTCATTTTCAGATATGGAGAGATTTTTCTAGGTTTTTAAGTGATTTCAAATTTAATTTCATTGTGGTTAAAGAAACTATCTGGCATGATTTTGATACTTTTTATTAGATTAAGAGTTTATATTAAGTTTATTTACTGGCCAAGCATGTGATCTATTTTTGAATGTGTATTTACATTTGAAAAGAATGTACGTTCTGCAGTTTTTTATGTTGTATTTTATAAATAGTAACTTGTAGTTGGAAAGTATTAGTTATGTTTTCTCTTATTTCTTTACATTTTTTTTAATGCATGGAAGGTCTGGTTCTATAAGTTATTGAGAAATAGTTATAAAATCTCTATGACTGTAGAATTGTGTATTTCTTCCTTTATTTCTGGTTGGTTTTTTTGTTTGTTTTTGTTTTTGGTACCCATGATCAAACTCAGGTCCTTGTGCTTGCGGGGCAGGCAGTGGAACCACTGACCTAAATCCCCGGCGCTCAGTTAAATTTTTGCTACATATATTGTGAGGGTTTCTTATTATATACCTAAATATTTTTGATTTCTAAGTTTTCCAGATGAATTAACCTCTTTATTCTTGTGATAAAATTATGTTTGATAATAATAGGTTACCTTGAAATATGTTTGATCTTAATATAGTCATTCTATTTTTTGAAAGTAAATGATAACATTTGAAAGTTATTGAAGCAATTCACTTCTTTTCTTTTTAATTGAGTTTATTGGTACATTCTAGGTATACAGTACAGTTACATTTGCACTTCTTAAGTGTATTCTTTTTCTGTTTGTTTCTAATGTAGATGTTTCATTTCTCCTAATATAGGAAAATATATTTTCTTTCAGATTTGCAGTCTTGGTGTGAAACTAAGGAGTTAGCTCTAAAGAATGGTATTTTTGAAACAGGATCATTAAAATGGGAAATAATGAACAGAACCACAAGTTCCCCTTGCCTTGAGGGGGAATCTTATTTTGGAACTGATTTGAAATGTAATGGACACTTTGAAAAAGAAGAGGAATTTAAAGAGGAATGTATCCAGTATATGACAGTGCCATTTGAAAAACTATCAGTTGAATTCATTCAGCCTACATCATTGGTTCCAAATGAAATAATTCAGCCTACATCACTAGTTCCAAGTGAAATAATTCAGCCTATATCACTGGTTCCAAATGAAATAATTCAGCCTGTAAATGAACACTATGAACAGAAAAAGTATGAAAACCTCACTCAACAGGTAGGAATTCATTCTAGTGACAAACTTAATGAAATGTGTGAGAAAGCCTTCATATTTTACACAAATCAGATGGAACATCAGCAAAGTCTTCCTGGAAAGAAATGTGATGAATTTAAGGAACATGGCAGAGAATTTTCTTATGACTTCCAACTCACTCAATATCAAATAAATTATAACAAACCCTATGAATGTCAGATATGTGGAAAGAGCTTTAGAAAGCGTGCCCTCCTTACACAACATAATCGAATTCACACTGGCGAGAAACCATATGAATGTAAGGAATGTGGGAAAGCTTTTATTTGCTGTTCAACACTCATTCAACACAGGAGAACTCACTCTAGTGTGAAACCCTATGAATGCCTGGAATGTGGGAAGAGTTTTCGACGGAGTGCACACCTCACTCGACATCAAAAAATTCATACTGATCAGAAACCCTATAAATGCACACAGTGCTGGAAGGCATTTGCTTCTCTTTCTGACTTTAATAGACATCATAAAATTCATACTGGTGAGAGACCTTATGAATGTGCAGAATGTGGGAAAGCATTTAATAGTCGTTCAACTCTTACTCAACATCAGAGAATTCACACAGGTGAGAGGCCCTTTGAATGTAAGGAATGTGGCAAGGCATTTAATAATTGTTCAACTCTTACTCAGCACCAGAGGACCCATACTAATGAGAAACCCTATGAATGCCAGGAATGTAAAAAGACTTTTAGACAAAGTGCACATCTAAGCAGACATCAAAAAATTCATAGTGGTGAGAAACCATTTGAATGTGCTATATGTGGGAAGGGCTTTACTTGTGTTTCTGACTTTAACAGACATCAACGAGTTCACACTGGTGAGAAACCCTACGAATGTAAGGAATGTGGGAAAGCCTTTAATAATTGTTCAACTCTTATTCGACACCAAAGAATTCACACTGGTGAGAAACCATATCAATGTGACCAGTGTGGAAAAGCATTTATATCTGGTTCAACATTTTTTCAGCATCAAAGAACACATACTAATGAGAAGCCCTATGAATGTCAGGTATGTAAAAAGACATTTAGGCAAAGTGCACATCTAACTAGACATCAAAGAACTCACACTGGTGAGAAACCCTATGAATGCTATGACTGTGGGAAGACCTTTACTTGTTTTTCTGATTGTAATAGGCATCAGAGAATTCACAGAGGTGAAAAACCCTATGAGTGTCAAGTATGTGGGAAGGTCTTTAATAATTGCTCAACTCTTAATCAACATCAGAGAATTCATACTGGTGTGAAACCCTATGAATGTAAGGAATGTGGAAAGTCTTTTACTTGGCTCTCAAACCTAAATAAACACCAGAAAATTCACACTGGTGAAAAACCCTATGAATGTAAAGAGTGTGAGAAGGCTTTTCTCTGTTATTCAACTTTTGTTCAACACCAGAGAACTCATACTAATGAGAAACCCTATGAATGTCAGGAATGTGGGAAGGCTTTTAGACAGAGAGCACATCTTATTCAACATGAAAGAATTCATACTGGTGAGAAACCATATAAATGTAAGGAATGTGGAAAGGCCTTCTCTTGTGTTTCCTACTTTAGTAGACATCAGCGAATTCACACAGGTGAGAAACCATATGAATGTAAAGAATGTAAGAAGTCCTTTATTGATTGTTCAACTCTTATTCAACACCAGAGAATTCACACCGGTGAGAAACCCTTTGTATGTCAGGAATGTAATAAGGCCTTTAGGCAGAGGGCACATCTTACTCAACATCAAAGAATTCACACTGGTGAGAAACCCTATGAATGTAAGGAATGTGGGAAGGCCTTTACTTGTCTTTCACAGGCGAAAAAGCATCAGAGAATACACACATGAGGTGAGAAATTATATGTGTTTCAATATTGTCTTTTATTTATTTAATAGTCATTACTCAACAGTACCAAATAAATATTGGAGAGAAATGTTAGAGATATCAGAAACATGGAAAACAATTTTATCTATCCCTCTTTTTTTTTTTTTTTTTGGTACTTAGGGTTGCTTTTTAATTTTGAGTTATGGTCTCAGTAAATCACTGATTTCCCCAGGCTGGGCTCGGATTATGATCCTTTTGCCTTAGCTTCCCAGAGTGCTGGTATTACAGACATGTATAAGCATGCCCAGCTTCCACAGCTATCTTTTTGTATAACAGAGTCTATATTTAAGAAAAGCCTTATAAAAGTTAGGTATTTATAAGTACCTGCTCTCATACTACTAGAGTCAATTGTGTATAATTTATAATATGATTCACATAGGAAGCCCTTGATTTTTTAGCTACACATTAAGGAACAGAGACAATTTGTAAGAGATGAAAAATCCATGACTAAATTTCTTTGTCATATAAATCACAACTTAGTATCACAGCTTTTAAAGGAAAGATAAAAATGAAATATTAATTCTCTACTAAGAGTTATATTTGGATTATATCATAACTATAGAGAATAACGTAGAGAACAACAGTTTGGACTTTCTGAATATACAAAAGCTTTTATGTATAATATGAATTGTTTTCATTTTTGCTGAGCCAGGAGGATCACAAGTTCATGCCCTTCCTGGGCAATTTAGTGAATTATTGAGACCCTATCTCTAAATAAAATATGAAGCAGGACTGAGGGTATATCTCAGTATGAAGGCCCTAGCTTCACTTCTCAGTACCATCAAAGTATAAAAAAAGGATAAGGTAATGTTTATCATGGAATTTTGAAGGAATTCAAGTAACTGATATTACCACCATGTTTGATAATTCTTTCTGCAGGGTTAAGTAACCTTTGCCAACTATGGACAAAGATGACATCAAAAAATGCCTGATATGTGTGTTTCTTTTGTGAAGGTAATGATAAAAAATTATGAATGATCAGTCAAAAATTTGAATGCAATCCAGAAAATGAATATAAAATAGGCAAGTTAAAAGAAAATTATATAGCAGGATGGTAGACATAAACTAAGAGAAACTCCAGAAACTGAATGGAGTGATTGTTATACTGTAGTTCAAAGGAAAATTTTTCTTATTTAAATAAAATACTATGCTGTTTTAGAGTCACATATAAGAAAATAAAGCTTCTAAAAGATCAAAGTTCATGGGCAGAATGAAAGTATGTTGTTGAAATGTTAACCAGAGAAACCTCCCATGAAAAGATTTCAAGGATAAAAACAAAAAATAGAAAATACATTTACCAATAAAGAAATAGAAACCCATCTTAAATCCAGTTTCATTTCACTAGCAGGATCTGATTATGGATAATCTCTATTTATGTAAATAATAAAACATGGCCTCCATGAATACAAAGGTTGATAGAACTGCAAACAGAAATGCGAGCTCTGCAGAATTGGTTTTTAGCATACCTCTGTCAAGTATGAAAAAAAAAGAGAACTTTTAAATGAGTACTGTTATTAAAAATCTGGTATAGTAGCTGGGCGTGGTAGTGCACCCCTGTAATCCTAGCAGTCGGGAGGCTGAGGCAGGATCGCTCTGAGTTCGAGACCAGCCTGGGCTACATAGTGAGTTCCAGGTCAGTCTCATCTATACAGTGAGAACCTGTCTCAAAAAAACAACAACAAAATCTGGTTTAGTGTGGTGTAATCCCAGTGCTCTGGGAGGTTCAGGCAGGATTGCAAATTCAAGTCTATCCTCTTCAATTTAGCAATTTAGTGAACCCCAATTTAAAAAGAAAAAAGTGGGCCAGGGATTTAGCTCAGTGGTTCCACTGCCTGCATTGCAAGCGCAACAACCCGAGTTCAATCCCCAGTACCAAACCCCCCACCAAATATATATATATGTATACACACACACACACACACACACACATTTAAAAGGATGTACTTCAGTGCTAAAGACCTGTTCAATCCCCATTACCACTTAAAAAAAATCTGATAATGACTATCCCAAGTTTACAAAGGGTTCTTTTATTAAGTATAAGAAATTATTTACCTTAAATTATAAAGCAAGTCTAAATGAATATCAAATTATACCAAATATCTTAAGTATTAAAGTATTACTAGATGTTCATATATTCGGAATTATACTTTTAAATCACACTTCTGAATAACCATTGATTAAAGAAAACATAATGCATATTATTTTCTATTAAAATTTCACCTTTGATAATTTGTGGAATGCAGTAAAAGTATCTAGTAGAAAATATTTCTGGGAAGCTGAAGTCACCAAGGAAATCTAAAGGTGATAGAGAATTTTAAAATATGAAAGTAAATAATAGATTGCTAGAAAGAATTAAGTGGGATGCAAAAAATTCTTTGAAGTGTTAGATTAACTTGAGAAATCTTTTAACTATTAAGGAGTAATGGAATTTTACAAATTCTTTAAAATTTTGATTCTCTTGAGGGCATCTCAGAATAGAAAGTAAAATGTATAAAAACAAGAAAGTAAAGAATAGTCTCCCTTGGGTGTCCTATCTGCAGTTTTCTCTTCTAGGCCTGTACTTTACTTAACTGAATCAGTCATTCAATTGAGGTATGTAAATGTTTTTATCTTTTGAAATAAAAATGAGATGATCTTTGTATATATTATTTAGTATCTGTACGCAAACAAATATTAAAGGTATGTCCCTGAAGTCCATTTGTTGGGTTAGTACATTCGTACATTCTTTAAAATGTTAAATTTCTGTTCTTTAGTTTTACTAATTTATATTCCTTTCAACAATGTAGTTGAGTTTCTATTTCCCCATAATCTGACAAAATAATTTTTTACTCTGATTTTTGTTAGTATGTTAAGTGGAAAATATTACACATTTAATTTGCATTTTATGCTATATGTAATTTGCATTTTTATGCTACGTTTCTTTTTTAAATGCTATTTTTTCTATGAAATGTCTTGATGTCATTTTCTTTGGATGATTGGTATTTTTCTAATTGCTTTGTAAGAATTTCTTTTCTTTCTTTCTTTTTTTTTTTTTTTTTTTGGTACCTTGCACTTGCTAGGTAGGTGCAGTGCCACTGAGCTAAGTCCCAGTCCCCGGTCCTGCTTTGTAAGAATTTTTAAAATGAGGGATATTGGTTTTATAATCTGTGTGTGTGTGTGTGTGTGTGTGTGTGTGTGTGTGTAGGTGTGTGTAGGGGGTTCTACCTGGAAATGTTTTGTTGTAAATGTATCAATTAGTGCTTGGATAACGTGTGTTTTGCTATTTAGTTTATAAATCATCTTTTCCACTCTGACATACCTTTTTTAAATCTCATATTTTCCTCCTCTATGGTTATGTTGTAAAATTTAAGCACTTGATGAATTTTGAGTGTTGAATGGAGTTAGGCAGGGATACAGTTACTCTTCACATGGTTAAACATTTGTCTTAGTGCCATATACCTAACTATTTAACTTTGTCCCAGTAGTTTTAAATGCAAACTTTGTCATAGGCCAAGATCCAATAGTGTTTGGCTCTGTATCTTAACTATTATTTTGTCCTGTTGAACTGCCCATCTCTTTTTACATTATAATCAAATTTATTTTGACATTATACATTTATATTTATATAATATTTTGATAACTAGCACATCTAGTCCTCACTCCCATGTATTACTCTTTTTTTTTTTTTTTTTTTTTTTTTTTTTTTTTGGTACTGGGGATTGAACTCGGGATCTTGTGCTTGCAAGGCAGGCAGTGGAACCACTGAGTTAACTCCCTGGCCCCATGCATTACTCTAAATTTAGCAAAAGGTCTCTGACTATATTGGCTTATCTGCTGTTCCATGCCTTTTTAAATTTCTTTTAAAAAAAAAAGTCCTTCTGGAGTATTTTTTACTTTCATATTAAAACTAGAAATGACTAAACATTTTATAATTAAATTTTTAAATCTGGGTACATTGGTAGCATTCCTGTGTACTCTAGTGTCTTACAGTCCTATATTTGTTCTATTCCTTTCTTTTTTGAGACAGGTTTTGACTATGTATGGTAATTCAAGCTAGCCTTAAACTCAGTGTGCAGCCCAGGCTGGCCTCAAACTCACAGCCTCCTGCCTCAGCCTCCTGAGTGCTGGGATTACAGGCATGTGGCATCATGCCTGGTTGTTTGTTGTATCTTTTTAAAGCAGAATTTAAACATATATTAATTAGGTAATTTCTGGATATTTTATGTTTATTCTTGCTCTTATTAAAAGGCACTTTTTCCAGTATAGTTTCTAATGGGTTTTGATTGCATATTGAAAAGCTACTTATTTTTTTGTGCATAGTTTACTATAGGGCCTAATTTTTTGTTATTTTCTTCAAGTAATTCTTTTGAATTATGAGATACACAGTTGTATGAATTAATGTTTCCATATTTCACTGCTCCTTTTTTTCTTTTTTTCTTCTTTGGTGGTATTTGAGATTGAACCCAGAGGTGCTCTATGCTCTACCATGGAGTTACATTGCTCTTCCCTTTTTACTTTCAGATACAGTCCTGCTAAATTGCCCAGGCAGCACATGAACTTATAGCTATCCTGCCTCAGCCTCCCTTAGTACTAGGATTTACAAGAGTGTGCTACTATACCCAGTTTTTAAATTTTGTATATAATTACACTAGCCAGGAATATAATGTTTTTTTAATACTGGGCATTAAAGCCAGGGCCTTTACTCTGGGCCATATCCCCAACCCTTCAACCTTTATTTTTTTTTATCCTGAGACAGGTTCTCACTAAATTTTCCTAGCTGAGCTTGAATTTACAATCCTCTTGCCTCAGTCTTCCAGAGTGCTGGGATTACAGACATACGCCACCATACCTGGCAGGAGGAATAAACTTTAAAGAAGAGAATCTAAATTTTATTTGGAGTCTTACCAGTTGGTAGCTGTGAGACCTTGGAGAACTTATTTGTAGAATAAGCAGAATTTGACTGCCCAACCATGCCTCAACATCAG